ATCCTAGTGATCATTTTCTTAACCCTCTCCAACAATTCAATGTCCTTCCTAAGATAAGAGGACCACATCTGCACACTATACTCCTTATGTGACCTTACTAGTATTAGGGATTTGTAGATTCCTTACCTTTTTTTTTCTTAGCTAATAAACTTATAGGTCACTCTTAAGTGCATTAAACCGAGATAATGTCATTCTATAATGTGTTTCTCTATTCAGTCTTCATGTACGTGCATCAAATATATCATTGAAAATTTAAGAGTAAAATTAAAGAAATGTGACATTTTTATGTGGTAAAATGGAAGACAAAATTACATCAACTGAAGTTATGTATCTTGTAAGTGGTAAGTAAATATGAAACACTACAAAAGCAGTCTGTATGACGACTGTATATATATATATATATATATATGAAAAAAAATTTACAGATGCATAAGCAATGTAATCTATGCAGGTAAACCATGAAAGTGTCAACTCTCCCAACAAGTGACCCAACCATGTATAAGCACACAAATTTCTCCCTCTGTCCTAGTTACATGTACATTATCTTAAAACATGACAAGCCACTTGTGAAATGAAGAATTTAATACAATTGACATTGGTTACTGGTAGCATCAGATTATATGTAAACAAGCAACTGAAAAGTTGCAGTTTTATTCTGTACCATTTTGTGTGGATTTCTGTCATTTTTGTCCACACTGTTTATTGAAAACTTTATGCAAGAGATAGTTGAACTAATGAAACTAAAGAGCAATAGTTCAAGTCTTGATTTATGGTCTTTCAAAATGGTTTGTAAACCAATGTTATGTTAGTAACTATATTCCACTAGTGTTGTTTGTAAACCAATGTTATATTAGTTATTATATCCCACCAATGTTGTTTGTAAACCAATGTTATATTAGTAATTATACCCCACTAGTGTTGCTTGTAAACCAATGTTATATTAGTAACTATACCCCACTATTGTTGTTTGTAAACTAATGCTATATTAGTAACTATACCCCACTATTGTTGTTTGTAAACTAATGTTACATTAATAATTATACCCCACTAGTGTTGTTTGTAAACCAATGTTATATTAGTAATTATACCCCACTAGTGTTGTTTGTAAACCAATGTTATATTAGTAACTATACCCCACTATTGTTGTTTGTAAATCAATGTTATATTAGTAACTATACCCCACTAATGTCGCTTGTAAACCAATGTTATATTAGTAACTATACCCCGCTATTGTTGTTTGTAAACCAATGTTATATTAGTAACTATACCCCGCTATTGTTGTTTGTAAACCAATGTTATATTAGTAACTATACCCCGCTATTGTTGTTTGTAAACCAATGTTATATTAGTAACTATACCCCACTAATGTTGTTTGTAAACCAATGTTATATTAGTAACTATACCCCACTAATGTTGTTTGTAAACCAATGTTATATTAGTAACTATACCCCACTAATGTTGTTTGTAAACCAATGTTATATTAGTAACTATACCCCTGCTATTGTTGTTTGTAAACCAATGTTATATTAGTAACTATACCCCGCTATTGTTGTTTGTAAACCAATGTTATATTAGTAACTATACCCCGCTATTGTTGTTTGTAAACCAATGCTATATTAGTAACTATATTCCACTAGTTTTATATTTCCATGATCCACCTCATGTAAAAGTTTGATTCAAGAATGGCAAACTTAGAATAAAGCTCAAGTTTGATTTCTGCTATTTAACACTCATGACAAGGGAAGTTTTTGGAACTGTGTAAAACCATGAGAATTTTCTCAACATAGAAAATATTTATTACTTTGAGCTTTCAATTCAATTGCTGAAGTCTTCATTTAACAGAAAATCCTGAAATTTAACTAATCCACTCTTGAAGTTAATACTTCAAAATGCTACACAATGACCAATACAGGCAATCTAGTTAGTACTTAAATGCTGTACATAACTGTAGTAAATGGTGTTTGTGTATAAAACTAAATTCTTGGAAACTACGCTTTAGAAAATGTGTAATACTGCATGTATTGTGGCTGAAAAATTGTCCGTATTTACCTGGAAATCACACATTTAAACAAAATCAGTTAAGTATGATTAGCATTTTGTATTTGTAGATCAATATGTTTTCTATGGTGGTTAAGAATTTATGTTATTTAACTTAAAAAACCAGTTTCAATAATGGAAGGTCATTTGGTTCATCAACACCACCCACCCACTAAATCAAAGACCAAATGATAGCTCTTTATGTTAATATATTCATTCAGTAAGTGTTTACAAAATTGAAAACAGCACACATCACAATATCAGGCAAACATTTCACAAGCTTATATCTTTCACTAAGAAATAATTGTACCAAAGAACAAGCCTGGATTCAGTGTTCCAAAGTTTAAAGTTATTGCCTCTCTGTTCAAGTTTACATTTCTAACCTTTTCATTTCACCAAACAAACCACTCATAGGCACATTAACTGAGTAATTAACAATTTTACACAACTAACCAAGTCACTTCTCATTTTATACTAAAGACAAGCAAATCAAAGTCTCTCTAACAGTGGTAGAATTAAACAAATAATCAATTCAGTAATCTGTGTACAATAACAACGGCATGGAAACCAAAAAGTAAATATAGTATTTTAAATGAAGTATTACCAATCTTGCATAAGGAAATAATGACTAGATTCCAGGATGCTACTAGCACTTTCAACACAGCTAAACACTCAGCTAGAGGATTTAATGATTTCCTTTTCCCTATTTTTACAACAGAAAACTGAAAAAAGTATAAATATAATCAGTAAATTGATTAAGGTTGCAGATATTAAATTAATGGGTATTTTAAATTGTACTGAAGACATACTTTTGCTGAGAGGGATTTGGACTGTTTCATTAGCTGAGCTAACACCTGTGCCTTGCTATGTTAATAATGTCATACATATTGATTACCACATCATCATCATCTTACAGCCAATGCTTGGGAAACTATGTAAATGAGATAATAAAAAGACCTGGACAAAGCTATTACAAAGTCTCAAAAGCCTTCCAGACAATGTACATTAACTAGCAATATAGCAAACAGGATATTTGGTTGTACACATAGAAATATTAGGTGTAAGCCAAAAGAAGTCAATGGTTCACTCTAAAAGGTGTTAATTAGATCTCATTTGGAATATTGCATTGAGTTTCGGTCAGTTTATTTAAGAAAGAATGTTAAGTTGTTGTTATATTAAATGTAATGCTGTGCTTACTTGAGTATTTTGCAGCAAAATGTAGTTCAGACCTGGAGATAGTAAAATCCAAAAGGTGTATATTAAGCTATGAAAATGTTACTGTTAGACTAATTTGTAAATCTTGAATATAAAGTGTGATAAATCAAGTAGATACAAAGTAGTGTCATAACAGCCATAGTTCATCAGTGTTTCTGCTCGGTAAAATCTAAACTGTGTATGCAACATTAACATGTACCATTTGCTATCAATTTGTTAAGTGTGTGTATCTTGTTCTTTCAGTGTCAACAGATAAGTAAACTTTTTTCTCCTTCTTTAGAAGTAATACGACCAACAATAATACACTGTCATCTATGTCATCATATACAACACATCCAGAATCATCTGATGACACACATCTTGTTGTTTGTTATCCAGTTGCAATTGCTCAGTTACCATAAATTTACAAAGTAAATGAAATCTAAACTTTTAAGTTCAGTGATCTTTTAAATCTTTTGAGAAAAATTCAGAATCAACAATTTTAAACATGGAAAAGTAAAGTCAACAGGGTTATAGAATCCTCTTCAATTCCCCCTTTTTTCATCTAATTTATAAGTTATCATGACAAGTATAATAACTATGATAATTATATGACAACAACCTCACAGGATCAATTTTCTTTATTGTCCTTCACTACCTTGTAGTATAAAATGGAATAGCCAAGATGAGCCAAATGGCCCTTGTTACCACTTGGAAATAAATGAATATCAAAATTTGTTTCTTTTTACTTTGTTAAGCACAAAACCACTGCTTTACCCATTAAAAAGATAAAAACCCATATATATATATATATATTAAAAGCTCTCAAGCTTACCACTTAACCACCAAGTGGCATTCACTCTTGCATATTCTTTCATTTTCAATGAAATTTGGCAGCTATTTGCTTTTAACTGTTTTCATATCTAGACATGGGGTTTTTTAGTTAATATTGCTTATTACCAGCCTAGCCAGGCTGATAACAGATGACACAGTTTGAAACTGCAGTTCTCGGATGGTCATGATTTTGTATTTGTCTAATTTCTTTTACAATCTGTATCAAAGTAACAAAACTCAAAGGGCTAGTTCTAATTGGAAAGTCAGATAGTCTCAAACAACCCCAGATTTAAAAAACTAGAGGTATGGGTATGTATAAAAATAACCAGCACTTAAACAGTAAGTCCCTTCCAAATTATTTAATCTCAACTGAATAATTTTACCCTTCTCAACAGTGAAACTTTGTTAACTCAATTAATAGTTACTATTTGTTTTATTTGTATGCTACGAAGGTTTACTTTTTATTGTAACTATATGATTGGATTAAAACATCATGTTATCTGGCTGGGTAGTCTTTCACAAACCAAAAATTTTCAAATATCTCTTCTTAGAACAGGTTATACGTAAACGTAATAAAAGAAAACCTTCTCACAGTGCAAACCTATAATTCTTATACAAAACAGTTAAAATGTTCACATGCTCAAGAGAAAATACATCTTTTTTCAAGCAATTATTACTCATTATTGTTTAACTAAAAAATTAATCATATAGTACTCACGAATATACTTGTTTATTTGAAATTAATTTCTTTACATATAAGTATTGCAAAAGCTAGTAATGACTTTAGGTACTGAACTTGTACACATTTAAAGATCCCAAAAATATTCAGACCCCATATTGCATGGATGTGGGTACGATTATTCATCACCCCTGTTTTTCTTTTCCTTCTGGGAAAAATAAGAGAAAAAAAGCTACAGGTTAAGATTATTACTTACATTTACATCAGCACCTTTTTCCAGAAGATAATTTACTACTTCAGTTTGCCCATAATCTGATGCATAGTGAATTGGGGGCCGTCCATCAATAGCCTGGTTGATATCCACCTTCTATGTAAAAAAGTATGGCAAAAAAAAACTAAGTTGAATTTTATCAATAAATTACAGTTAAAGGTAATCCATATAATTTTACTGATATTGAATAAACCCATCATTGTTCCTTTTGCTAATTTGTACAGTATGATCAATTATCTCTTGAATTAAACAGATAAAAATTTTATTTTGAGGTATACAAAAAAGATGCACAGGCTACCAGAACCTTTATATATATATATTTTTATTAAGACGTTTACCAACTTGAATTTATAAAGAAGCTGAGAAAAATTATTTTCTGTACACAGATATTTACAGCAAATTAAAACAAGTCCAATTACTTGTTTTATAAATCTTATAACACTCAAATGAATATCACTTAAAATAATTTGTTTATATATATAAAAATTATAAAAAAAATCAAAACTACATTTGGCAAAATTTACTTTGGCTTATCATAAGCATTAGTCAATGTTCTTTAACCCTAGAACTTAATACAGAGTATGTTCTTGTGTTAAAGATCATATGTTTAAATCTTCATTACTGGCAAACGTTAGTTAACCACAGAAACCATGTCAGTCTCCAAGTTCCAATGATTAACAGAAGTAATTCTCTCAAAAAAACAAAAAAAAAACAAACTTGCATCTAAGTTTCCAAGTGTTTTGAATAACTGAATATAATTGAAATTTAATCTGTTTAAGGATTTGCTAATTTTACGCAACAATGAAATAGAAATATTTAGAAGTTCACAAAACAGATAAATTCAAGCTTTCTTTATAAAATGGTAAGGGTGTATTACGGAAACAAGTTAGACTTTCTAAATGGCAATCCATATTTAAGTTTTTCTTTGTGATACATTTGTCATTTTATATGAAATTATAGTTTGAATCAAACCTATTCTGTCGAAAGAACAACAATGTCAAATGCTTTTCTGAAACCCTGGAATGTTTTTGAGAAAACAAGTGGTTAAAATAGTTTTAAAACTATGAAAATATGGATGATAATCATTTATGCTTTCAAAAATTTTTACTTTTAAATTAATGCCTATTTCTAAGTAGTACATTATTCAATACAAGTAATTACAATGTTTTTAACTGTTCCTTAAGTCTACAATCCAATTGTATACTTTTAGTCAACTAGTATTTTGTAAAATACAGTCACATTTCAATTATTATATATGTATATAGATTATTGCTATTTTGAACTAAGTTCTTAAATATTTTTCTAAAACATAGAACAGTAAATAAAGTAAAGCAAACAATTATCTCTTCTAGTGATCTATACAGTGAAATAATAATATCCCTTATCTTATATTCAATATTTTTATAGATGCTACCCAAAAACCTATTAGCTCTATTGCTAGCTACAATACACTGTTTGGATGACTTAAGTGAATTTTCAATCATAACACCAAGATACTTTTTCTCAACCACAGTATTTAATGTATTCCCATTTAAATTGTAACAATAATTTGAATTGTAAAAATCTACATGCATCACCTTACATCTTGGATAGTTAAACATCATCTGCCATGTATTGGCCCAATGCATGAAATGATCTAAATCTCCCTGTAAGTTTGCAGAATCTTTGATACAGTTAGCCACCCCAAAAATCTTAATGTTATCTGCAAACTTCAAAATTTTGTTAGTCATTCCAGAGTCCATATCAAAATATCATTAATATAAACAAGAAAAAGCAATGGGCCAAGCACTAAGCCTTGAGGAACTCCACCAGTAACAAGGGTTCAATTTGACAGGACTTCACTATTAACATTTTACTTTTTTTATCCAACTACCCTACAATCCAATTAACTAAATTTTCTCCAATTCCAAAAATGTGTTTTTTGTTTTATAGGTAAACTTCTGTGGGCACCTTCATCAAAAACTATTTGAAAATCTAAATACAAGTCCATACCCTGTCCATCAATCAGATAACAAGTAACATCCTCGAAAAACATCAACAGATTGGTAAGGCAAGATTTTTCTTTCACAAATCAAAGTTGGCTCTTTTTATTACAAACATTCAACTGAGTTATGTTGTGAAATTTTTTTTATCAGACTAGACTTTTTCTCTCTTCAGAAGTAATACTAACTGGCCTATAATTTCCGAGGCAACATTTCTTCTTTAAAGTTATGCTCAAAATAAAAGATTCTGTAAGAAAAACTTAAGTTTCTGCTTTCTCATTCATTATTATAAAAAAAAAAGATGCATTTCAATATTAAAAATATAATCCAATGTTATGTCTTCACATCACGATCAAGTTAACATTAGGCTTAATATACTACCAGTTAGAGAAATGTACGCACAAATAATTGTGTTACTGGTTTTAATATTATCATCATTTATATTATGTGATCACAGCTCTACTAAACTTTTACTTATGCTGGGTAGGCCTAAGGCTACGGGTAACACTAACACAATAACAATTACCTTGTTTTCTACATGATCTTTTATTTGTTCAAGATCTCCATTTTTCAAACTCCAAATAAAATCGCTCATTATTAGAAGAATATATTATATTAAATCTATTCAGAATACAAACTTTAATTGTTAAAATTCTTAATCGAGTGAGTTATTTTTGTCTCAATAAGATTCGTATACTTTTAACAAAGTTTCCATAAAACCGCCAACTTCTTACAGTTACAGAACCAGCTTTGCATGCCGCCCTTTCACTTTGCCTAGAAAGGAAGAACCGGAAGCTGATAATACCAATAGCCCTGGTGGCTGTTATTAGTAAACAATGTGAGCACAGACTTGAATGGTAAAAACGTGAACGGTGACGCCCTAAGTAAAATAAGACCGGCTGTGACGAGCTATGTTGAAGTTCCAATCATGATTGAATAATTGAATAACAGCAAAAAAACAAACATGAATGCATTTCACAAAGTGCCATGCATTAATTTAAAATCTAGTTTGTCTGAAATAAAGAAGTGTTAAAAAGATTAGAAATAGTTTAAAAAAAAAGGAAACCTAATTTGTAAGCAGTTCAATTTAACATAGTATATTTTTATCTTTTATATTAGTATATCTTCATTTTCCTTATGTAAGGATAGATTAACAGTTTGTTCGTTCTATTTGGCACAAGCTGAAATACTCGTCAACTAACAGGGAATGTTTAAACTTGATTAAAACAATGTAAGTGAAACAGCATCATATATTTCAATCATTTTATTTTACAATTATAACAAAGCTTCTTCATAAACAACATTTGCAGTTCATTTTCTACTAACACTTTACTAACAAATAAAGATTTTTAGGTGATCCCACACTTAAACACCCTACATCTTATTCACCATGAGAAAAGCATGATTGTTTGAGAAACAATACAACAACTTTTATAGTTTGACCTTGAATACCTTTAGAATATTCAACATTGTCTAAAGCGTCAACCTGCCAACGTTGTTTGAGATTGACTTAATAGGCTGGAAGTATTTAAGCAACCGGCTTTACAAAATAGAAATAGGATTAAATTCTATTTTGACCCTCTTAGGACATTCCCTATGGTTCATAGTG